GACTTGGTTCAAGCCTCACAATGGGTTAATGGTATTAGTTATGAGTTTTGGGTACTTGGATGGTTGAAAATTTCTTTAAAACCTGACTTTTGTATCTAATTGTCTAAAATTCTCATACGGTGTTGGATCATAACAAAATTTAAACCATTAGTTAGCTTATTGAATAAGCTTTGCATGGGCACTTGAATCACTTTAATCGGACATCGGATGTGAAAATGGCGTGCATTTGAAGTTCATCCAGAAAAGTTGTCATGACAGCATTGCTGTCATGGACATGTGCGCCACGGCTCATTTCACGCAAGCTGTGGTGCATGATACAACAAGAAAACTTAGCTTTCTGTGCCACATGCCGTAGCACACAAACCACAAGCTGCGGCATATAGACTAAGACACTCAAAAATGACATTTTTGGCCCTGTTTTGAAGTGGTTTGCTTCCCAAAACTTTTCCATGCTTCCAATGCCTATATAAATCATTAAGTTTGAGCTCAAACTATCAATTTAAAGGGTTTTTATAAGATCCTAATTATTCCACAATTATTTTTAAAAGATAATTAGTTTTAATCCTTATATGGATAATGTAGGCTTAGGAGAAATTTTTGCTCCTAATTATGATTGTTTATTGTGACTGTGTGGTGAATTTTGGTAATATCAAGGTGGACATTACATTTTGGTATCAGTTTCTCGGGTAGGTGGTTTAAGTGAAACGATGCATATGCATGGTAAAATAAAAGACCTTTATATCTGTGTGATAAAATGATATATTCAACTAATAATTATTTTCATATTTAATATATATAATATATATTGAATATGATCTTATAACGTATAAAAGCTAAGAACAATATATTAAGATTGATATGTTACATTAAATATTCATTTGTTGGACCAACTAAAGTTGACATAAGTAGTAGAGGTTCTCATCACTCAAGCAAATCATTAGAAATTCAATGTCCAACTTTTGTGTATGTAACAACTTAATTAAAAGAAGTCTACCATTTATTTTTAGTATCTCAGGAGAGATAATCTATACTTTTGGTGGAGCCTACTCCACATATTATATGAAAAAAGATATTCATTTGTTGGTTTTGGTTAAATTAAGCAAAATATATACGTATAATAAATAAAAGTATATTTTTAATACTTTAACTATACATAAGGTTTATTTTAGTTTATCAATTTTATAAAAAGTATTTTTCAATCCTTAATCCTGATATCATTAACAAAAAATGTCAATATTGAACTTTTAAATGTTGACAAAACATTATAAAATTTTAACATATTAAGTTTAATTTTTTAAAATAATAATGATTGGTGCAAAATGTCATAATTTGGGGCTAATGATATTAGAGTTAAATAATTGAAAAACTATTTTATAAAATTGATGAGCTAAACAAAAATTCTATATGTACTTTTTTCCCGTATATTGTGTATAATATAATTTTTCCCCGACTTCAAAATTGATGGGAGCTTCTTGTGCCTCCGTTTTGATGTTTCGATGGTGACATGGTGGGTGATTATATATATATATATATGTGCGCGTGTGAACACTATATTTTATACGAGTATTTTTTTAAATTTAATAAAAAAATAATAAATTCAATCAAATATAAAAATAAAATTTAATTCTTTTTATAATTATATTTTTAAAATAAAAAATTTTAATTAATAGGGTTTAATTTTATTTTAACCTAAATAATTTTTAATACTTTAACTATACATAAGGTTTATTTTAGTTTATCAATTTTATAAAAAGTATTTTTCAATCCTTAATCCTGATATCATTAACAAAAAATGTTAATATTGAACTTTTAAATGTTGACAAAACATTATAAAATTTTAACATATTAAGTTTAATTTTTTAAAATAATAATGATTGGTGCAAAATGTCATAATTTGGGGCTAATGATATTAGAGTTAAATAATTGAAAAAATATTTTATAAAATTGATGAGCTAAACAAAAATTCTATATGTACTTTTTTCCCGTATATTGTGTATAATATAATTTTTCCCCGACTTCAAAATTGATGGGAGCTTCTTGTGCCTCCGTTTTGATGTTTCGATGGTGACATGGTGGGTGATTATATATATATATATGTGCGCGTGTGAACACTATATTTTATATGAGTATTTTTTTAAATTTAATAAAAAAATAATAAATTCAATCAAATATAAAAATAAAATTTAATTCTTTTTATAATTATATTTTTAAAATAAAAAATTTTAATTAATAGGGTTTAATTTTATTTTAACCTAAATAATTTTTTGTTGGTTAAGATTTTATTTTTTTTTGGTTCACTAAAATAACTAAAAAATATATAAAAATACAAAAATAAAATTTAATCCTTTTTAGGATTATATTTTAAAATAATAATAATAATTTAAAAAAATTAAAAAAAATCTTGCTTAAATATTTAAAAAATTTCTCCTAAATTATTTCGACCACTTAAAAATATTAGGAATTAACTTTTGAAAGTTAACTTTTTAAATCTTATTGTTTTTCATGAAATATATATATATATATATATATTTTAAAGTCAGATTTTTTAATCTCCCTCTCTTAATTTAATTAGCAAAAAAAATAAAAAAAATAAATGAGCAGGTGAAATGACGAATCACCCAGCCCTAAATTGCCTTTCACGGCAAGTAAAGGAGATCAGACTCGCATGCACAGAGACGGAGTTGAGAAACAGAGAGCAGACACAAAAATGACTTTTGACCAAACATGCAAGAAGAGAAGACCAAAGACGAAGGTAGTAAGCAACGCAACAAACACGAAGGAAGCAGAGAGCAGAGGTGAGTCACGCAGGTGCACAAGCAGGAAAAAAAACACATAAGCAGAGAGAAGAGATAGAGCAGAGCACGCACACAGACAAAAACACAAAGGACAAAAAGAGGAAGGACATGCATTCAAATCTCACACGCAAGGTAATTTTTTTTCTTTTAGTCTTCAATATAAGGGAGAGATTGAGAGCGATCTGAAAGGGAGCTGGGTTTGAGGAGAAGAAAAATTGAAGACTGAGTCTGAGCGAGAGGATCTTAGAGGATTTTTCTAAAAGGGATCTGAGGGATTTTCTAGAGAAAGAACTGAGGAGGGGGCCGAATTTGAGATTGAGGATTTCTGGAGGGAGACCGAGAGCCTAAGAGTTCTACATTTTTAGAGAGAGAATCAAAAAAGGGATATGGGTTTTGATTTCTTGGGAGAGGCCGAGAGCTTAAGGTCAAGAGATTTAGGTTCTGGGGATCGAAAAAGAAAAAAATTGAGAGAACTAGAGAAAGATTCAGGGAAATTCTAGAAGATCTGAGAAAAAGAGTGGGCAGACTTGAAGAGCTAGTAAGAGGTGATCTGGGCAAAGTCAAAGAATACTGAATATTCAAGGGAGGGAAGCCGATTGAAGATATTCATAGCTCTTTGTTGTAATAGGTTTGGAATCAACCTTGTATACTTCCATGATTCATTTCGTATTCTACTCTGTAAAATTCAGATTAGTTTTGAAAGGAGTTTCTGAGTATAATTCTGCATCCCTTGAGGAAATTTTCTGCATGTGTTTCATTTAGATTTCTTGGGATATCTGGATTGAATGTGTGGATTAAACGCTTTGAGAAATATATTAGATCTACTCATGTATGTCATTCAACTTTTACTGTCTAGTGGATGAAATTCTATTTTAGGGATTTGATTATACTAGGGCTCTTAAAATGTCTACTTCATGGTTCAATAGCTATCAATTGTGAAGAGTCTCAATGTTTTGATTACACAGCCTTCATCTGCACGCTATCCTGTTCAAAATTTTACTTGGAACTGTCTTGAGCATGATGTTTGTTGGACATATGTATGTAAATACGTGTGTATGTATTCTTGGGAAGTTTTTTTTCTTTGATACGCATATGTTTGATTTTAGATTGTGGAAGTTCCTTTTTATCAAATTCTAGTCTCTAACTGTTTATGATTACACTTAAATCTTATTAATGCTTTCACTTTGTGCTGTTTCAAATTATGAAAAATGCCTTCCCTAGCAATTGAATTAAATGATCAACAAAATGAAATTTACAGCACTGTGCACACATGTTTATGTACTCTAATCCTTGATTCTCATTGTGATCCCATTTATTTGAATTTAAATTGATGTTAATTCAACTTTTTATTTTTTATTTTTTTTTGAATCAACACAAGTAATAGGTATTTTACTTAGAATCATGTTCCGTAGTAATCCTTTGTAAGTATAATCTTGTCATTGGGCAGTCTTGTGAATGACAATTGGGTAAAAGATAGAAGAAGCAACCAACAATTGGTAAAGGATTTTGTTTGTTGAGTGGTTAATTAAATCTAAGATATATATAATGCTGATAATAATGATAAGAGAATATATTTATGTTTATTTATTTACCATGTGAGATTTTAAGAATTTTCATAAGAATTTAAATAACCTCGCATCATGTAAATTAATAAAATTTCACAAATATGAGAATAAAATTTATCTACTATTAATATGAGTTCTAAAGGCTCATCATTAAAATTAACATTCTTTTTATAATTTAAATTAATAAAATATTTAAGTCTCACTTAAGATTTAAAGAATTTTTCAAGAGAATTAAATTAAGTGTATTATCGTGTGTGATAATAAATCATCACAAATGATGTGATTCCCAATTTATATGATAAATAAATAAATAAATTTTATAAATAAAATAATAAACATTTTTTTAATCAAATTAAATGTATTTGCATAATAACCATTAAATCTTTTAGTCATGTGAGATTTTTGAATCTCCATAGACCTCTAGAATAATCATCTTATTGTGTAAGTTAATAAGACTTCATAAATCTAACGATTAATATTCCTATATTTAAAAATATAAATTGTATATTTACACATTAAAATATATCTAAAAAATATATATTATTTAATCCTTTATTGAGTGAGAATTTTGAATCTTCGCAGATGTTTAGTATGATCATATTATTATATAAGTTAATAAGGATTTGCAAGTATGACGATCAAGATTTTTTTTTTTTTAAAAAAATATATATATACATGCTTAAAAATATGTATATATTATTAACATTTAAAAATTTAAGTCAATACTAAGTTGTTATACTTTTTTATTGTGTGAGATTTTAGAATCTCTACATATATATAGAATAATTATATTACCATATGAGCCAACAAGGTTTTGCAAGTATAGTGGTTAAATTCCTAATCATAAAATATAAAAAGTTAATTTTAACCTCTTTTCTTTTCTTTATTTTAAAAATTCAAAAATAGAGAAAATAATTAAAATTAAATTACTTTTTATAATTTAAAGTAGACATATCAAAATTTCAAAAAATTGTTTCATTTGCAAAATGGTGAATTATTTTTAATTAATTTCTATTAAAAAAATATTTTCATCAATAATTTATAATCCCAAACTATATGGATTTTGATCCCCATCGCAGAGTACGTAGGCTTCAGAGTCTGATTTTGAGTCAAGTCCTCCTTTGTAAATAAATAAATATTTCTACTTAATTATTATCATTTTTTATCAAACAGGTGAATAAGAAATGGATAATTAAACTTTAAAGCTATATTAATTTAGCACAACAAACTTTAGGTAACCGTTCTCACGAATGGGTGTTGTGGGCTTTCTGTGCCATGCGCTGCGGCGGGTAAGTCAGTATGCTGAGGCGCACGGGCAAAATTAGCACTTATCAGATTGTAGAAACAGACCGAGAACAGAAGAGAGAAGAAGGAAAAACGACAGAGCGATGGAGAACTTTTAGTCTGTTAGGGCATGATCCCTAGGCTACTTTGAGGGCATTTGGAACTTGAATCACTATTGGGTAAGTTATACATTCCCTCTTCTCCCTCCTTTATGCGAAAATCTAAACATTTAGGATAATGGAGACTTTGATTTCAGTTCCCTTGGGTTTAAACCAAACCCATTGGTTTATTTAAGATCTTGGGGAGTTAAATCAAGTTTCTATAACCTTATGAGCTTTGTAGTGATTGAGAATTTTTGGTAAAGGTTTGGACGAACTCTAAGTATAATTTGAGGATTTTAAGACAATGTGGGACATTGATTAGTGAATTTGGTATGTTAGAATGTGTAATAAGATGGTTAGAGTGTGTGGGAATGTTTGGTATTGTTAGAAAAGGAATTTGAGTATTTTAAACACTTAGAACCTAGTGAATTTGGAGTTATCCGGAATGATAATTAACGATTGTCACTTATTGGTATGGATTGAGCATTGTTTGAGTCTTATCGTGTATATAGAACGTGCGGAGCTAACGTTGAGCCACAGTAATCCTTTTTGTATGATAAAAGGGTTGAGGTAACTATATAATTTATTATGATTATTAACTATTATAACTGTGTATAAGTAATTGCAAATTATAAGGTTGTGGTTTTGAAGAGTTTTGTGCATAATTTGACATTGTAAATGATTTATAGCATGAAAAAGTATTTTGTAAATGGTTATTGTATATAATTGAAATATATATACTATGTATATAAGTTTGCGATGTGAAAATGCAATGAAAAGTAGTGAAAATTATGAAAGAGCATGATCATGAAGGGTGGAGTTCACCCAAGATATGTGGGAATATGTGTGTGTGGAGATATGTGAGTGAAAAATCCATATGGTCTGCTTAACACCATGAGACATCCGGTGTAGCATTATATGGAACTGTTACCATAGGATACCTGGGCAATCTGGTAACTTCCTAGTACTTGTTAGGGTACGGCTAGGAGTTAATGACACCTCTATCACAAGTGTGTGAAGAGAAAAAAAACCATAGTTCGTAAGCGGGTTAGATTACCCGTGGCCAAGTATATCTACCATCAAAAGTGTGCTCGGGTCAATAAGTGGTTAAACTAGGAGAGCCTGTGGTTTCATGTCAGGGAGCATTAGAGGTTCGGTGGTTAGATAATCATATTAGTGTAAAACCATGTGTTTTGTTGAGAAAAGATACACTTATCTCGTAATTATGGTATGCTTGGTATTACTATGGTTTTGATACTTTTTCATGGTTATTTATGGTAATAAATATTTGATAAGCTATACTGATTATTGAGATGTTTATCTCACCCTGTAGTTATATTTTACATGTGAAGGCTCTGGTAGGGGCAAGAGAAAGGAAGGGGCATTTGAAGAATGAAGAGCATCATTGTAAAACTCTTTCATTTTCTCTTTTTATGTATTGTAACTAATATTGTCACTAAATATTGCCAACTTAGGAACATGATATTATTTGGATATCACTTGTATGAATTTGTGATAAGTGTGTATATCTTGGCTAAGTTTCATACATGTGATATATGTCAAGTGTTTTGAGTGTCAAAATGACTAATTGATTGATGTGTTAAATTTTATCCACCCTATTATGTTATTGTTCAATAGGGGTTTGGTGGTCATTTTGAGTGTGATTGCTTAATTATGTGATATCAATGGATTGTTATATGGTGTGTGGTCCATTTGAGGTGGTCAAGGTGTCTCTAGAGCTAATGGCATTGTATATTGTGAGTTGGTCACAATAGTATGTGTTTTGTTATGAAAACAAACCATTTTAGGTTTGGATGGCCATCTTTTAAATAGATAATTGTTTGAGTGTGAGACCAGTGCATTAGCTAGATGGCTCAAAGAGTTTCGTGTGGACACTTAAATCGCTCAAATTGGATGTCGGATGGCGAAATGGCGCGCTCTGAAAGTTTAGAAAAAAGTCATAACAGCAAGTGCATGCCGCATTGCAAGAGGCCTTCGAGGGATACGTCCCTCTATGCCATCCGCAGTGGCGGTTACGGCTTGCGCGAGAGGGATGGACTAGATAAGGGCTAAATGACTTGTTTTAGTCTGTTTTAAAGTGAATTGATTTTCATGCTTTCGTATTTGTTTTTAATCAATTTTTAACTATGGTTTAAGCTCAAACAATATATTAAAAAGGGTTTTTTTAGGATCCTAATGTTTTAATTAATTATCTTTAAACCCTTAAGTTGTGGTAACTTTTTCTGAGGATTTTATTTAATCTGAGTTAGCACAATAATATGTAAGTGTTGTTTTGGTAATGTCAAAGAGAACATTACAATTTGGTATCAGTTTCAAGCGTTTCAAGACTAGTATGTGTGGTTGTTGTGTTGGATGGTTTTGCTTGTTGCATTCATGTCTAGAAGTTGGTATATATATATATTCATTACACTTACCTTCCCTTTGCATAGTTCTTTCATTTAACGCATACTCTTTGTGGGATTACTTCCATCCTTAGGAGGGGAGAGAGGATGGCAAGAAGAAGAACTGCTAGAACAGCTACGTGTGGTAACCCATCTAATACGGATATGGTACCAGAGACTAATGAGTTACCACTAGAGAATCATATTTCGGTTAGTCAGAACTTAGAATAATCGAGGGATGAGCCTGGAGATGAGAAATTTGATGTAAGAGGTACGTAATTCGGTGCAGGGACAAGGTTCATCGAGGAATGATAAGGTAAGAGAAGATAGTAGAACAATTGATAATGAAGAAAATATGTATGAGCAAGAAGATGAAGTTTATAAAAAGAGCACACCCAAGCAATCTGGAGTTGTGGGTGGCAGTGGTTCATAAAATTCCACGAAACAAGCATGGAAGAGTTTTTCATGGTTTCATCTGCCTACCTTTGATGTAACAATGAAGGAGGGTGAAGCTGAAGAGTAGATTGAAAGAATTGAGACAATATTTGAAGTAGTACCATGCTTAGAGGAGCAGAAGGTGACTTTGGCCTCAGTGTTGCTTGTAAAAGAGGCTAAATGTTAATGGAAGTCAATGAGACCGATGGGTGGAGTTCAAAGTGAAGTTTTTCAAATTTTAGTTCCCAGTGGCCTTTAGAGCAAAAAAAAAAGAGGCTGAGTTCCACGAATTTAAGCAAGGGAATATTGATGAAGAAGCTTTCATCACCAAGTTCAATCAATTGTCGAAGCATTCTACCTACTTATACGGAATGATGACTTAAAATGGAAGGCTGAGAGGCTACTTAAAAAGATGAGGCCTGAGTACTAACAATAGTTGGCCTTGTTTGAGATCACATCTTATGATGAGATGTACAATAAGTTAAGAATAGCTGCCAGAAAAGGTAGAGAGGTAGAGACTGAAAAGAGAAGGGATAGTCAGGGCAGATTCTCACAGTCGCTTGCCCTTACTAGTAGAGTTAGTAAGAGATCCCATTTTAGCTCTGGTAGTTCTAGGAGCTTTGGGAAGAAGAAGAACTTTTAAAGAGAATTACAGTCCCAAGGTTCCTTTTAAAGGAGTGGTGGATCGAGGAATAGTGCCAGTAGTGCACAGCCATCTCAGCAGGCTTCCATGATGCCTTTGCCTACTCTTAGTACAACTAAAACCCCTCAGTGCTCGAAATGTAGGAGATATCATGTGGGAAAGTGTTGGGTTTGCTTCAAGTATGGAAAGTCGGGGCACATAGCCAAATATTATGAAGAGAGTAGAGTGGGTACCACAAAGCAGAGATCCATTGTTCTTGGGAGAGTATTTGCATTGTCCCAGGAGGAGGCAGGTGCATCTCCAAATTTGATTGGAGGTAAAATCTCTCTGCACAACTGTGATTTAGATGCTTTGTTTGATTCGGGTGCTACCCATTCTTGCATTTCTGATGACTGTGTATTAAGGTTAAAATTATCTGTGCATACCTTGCCATATGTGATTAATGTGTCTATGCTAGTGAGAATTTCTGTAAGAACTAACCATGCTTGTCTGGGTTTTAATTTGATGTTTGAGAATAGATCAACTACTATTGACTTGATCTGTCTACCCATGATTGAGATTGATATAGTAGTAGGTATGGACTGGTTGTCGACAAATAATGTGACACTAGATTGTGCAAGAAAGATAATATCCTTGCTAGTGTACACTGCACCTATAATGAAATCTAGTCCGTTAAGATTCTTATCTATAATGCAAGCAGAAATGTGCATTCAATAGGGTTGTCAGGCACATATGGTGTTCTTTTTCGTTCATGCCACTTATGACGGAGGAATTGAGATAATTTGAGTAGTGAATGAATTTCCTCAAAGTATTCTCAGAAGAAGAGTTTAGATTACCACCTGAGCAAGAGGTGAAATTTTCTATTAACCTTGTATCTAGAACAAAACCTATATCAAAAGCTCCTTATTGGATGTCTCCATTAGAGTTGGCAAAGCTAAAGAAACAATTAAAAGAATTACTAGAAAAAGGGTTTATAAGACCGAGTGTGTCCTCATGGGAATCACTGGTTTTATTTTTGAAGAAAAAGGATGGTAATATGAGGCTTTGCATTGACTACAAACAGTTAAACAAAGTGACAGTCAAGAACAATTATCCTTTACCTAGGATTAATGATTTGATAGATCAGTTAGTTGGAGCTACGGTGTTATCAAAGATTGACATGAGATCAGGCTACCATTAGTTGCGAGTTAGGGTTGAGGATATGCCAAAGACTACCTTTCACACTAGATACGGTAACTATGAGTTTCTAGTGATGTCGTTTGGATTGACAAATGTCCTAGCAGTGTTTATGGACTACATGAATAGAATATTTCATCCTTATCTGGATAAGTTCATGGTAGTATTCATTGATAATATTATAATTTACTCAAGAGATGAGGAAGAGCACGCAAAGCATCTTCATACTATCCTACAACTTTTAAAGGACAATAAGTTATATGCCAAACTCAACAAATGTGAGTTTTGGCTAAGGGAAGTAAGATTCCTTGGTCATATGGTGTCGGTAGAAGGAATTATCGTGGATCCACACAAGGTGGATGCGGTGTTGAAATGGGAATTGCCTACTTCAGTGATAGAGATTAGAAGTTTCTTGGGATTGGCAGGCTACTATTAGTGATTTATTCATGGATTTTCACAAATTATGTCTCCTTTAACTAGGTTAACCCAAAAGGATCAGCCATATGTGTGGACCGATGAGTGTGAGTCGGTATTTCAAGAGCTGAAGAGGAAATTGACGTCTGCTCCAGTACTGGTTATTCCTAATCCTCGATTGCCGTATGTAGTTTACATAGATGCATTATTGAAAGGTTTATGGTGCGTTTTAATACAAGATAATTGAGTTATTTCTTATGCCTCAAGACAATTGCAACCGCATGAGGAGAATTACCTGACCCATGATTTGGAGCTAGTAGTAGTGGTTTTTGCCTTGAAAATTTGGCGACGCTATCTCTATGGGTCTATGTTTGAAGTATTTAGTGATCACAAAAGTCTAAAGTACTTAGTGGATCAGAAGGAGTTGAACATGAGGTAACACAGATGGATGAAATTTCTCAAGGACTACAACTTTGAGATCAAGTACCATCCGGGTAAAGCCAACATAGTGGCTGACGCGTTAAGCAAGAAAATGGTGCATGTTGCTCATATGATGGTTCAAGAGCATCAATTACTTGAGACTTTCTTAGATACTTAAAGGAAACACCTCAGATGACATTGTACAACGTGTATTCTACGGTCATAACCAATGAATTTTAAAAAGAGTTGCGAATTGCTCAGTTTGAGGATGAGTATCTACTCAGGATCTGTGAGGATATTGAAGAGAGGAGACCTACAGAGTTCGGATTCTATGATGATGGATATGTGACTTATCAGGATTGAATTTGCATGCCAAGTGATGAAGAGATAAAAGAGACGATCCTAGAGGAAGCACACCGTAGTGAGTATACTATTCACTCTAGTGTCACCAAGATGTATCAGGATATGAAGCAAATGTGGTAGTGGCCAGGAATGAAGAAAGATGTGACAGAGTTTGTGACTAAGTGTCTTATGTGCCAAAAGGTTAAAATGGAGCACCAGAGGCCTGGTGGTGTGTTGCAACCACTAAAAATTCTAAAGTGAAAGTAGGGTAGCATATTAATGGATTTCATTACTGGATTACCTAGAACTCAAGTGGGCTATGACGCAATATGTGTGATTGTGGATCGGTTGATGAAGTCAGTGCATTTCTAGGCAGTGAAGACTACCTACTTACTTGAGAAGTATACCAAGGTCTATGTAAATGAAATAGTGAAACTTCATAGGGTACCGAAGGATATTGTCTCTGATCGTGATTGGAGGTTCACTTCGAACTTTTGGAGAGCGTTACAGAGAGCAATGGGCATTAAGTTGAAATTTAGCATGGCATATCATCCACAGACAGATGACCAGACTGAGAGGACTATCCAAACGCTCGAGGATATGTTGCGAGCTTGTGCTTTAGAGTTAAGAGGTAGTTGGGATACACATCTACTGTTAGCGAAATTTGCTTACAACAACAGTTTTCATTCTAGCATTAGAATGGCTCTGTACGAGGCATTATATGAAAGAAGATGTTGATCACCTCTATGTTGGATAGAATTGAGCGAGAGAAGTTTGTTGGATCTAGATTTGGTAGACTAAACCACCTAAAGATCTAATTGATTAAGCAAAAGTTGTTGACAGCCAAGAGTTGACAAAAGAGCTACGCAGATTAATGTAGAAGATTGTTGAAATTTTTGGTTGGTGATCATGTGCTTTTGAGGGTCACACCAATGACTGGCATTGGGAGATCGATAAAAGCTAAGAAATTGACTCCCAGGTTTATGGGTCCCTTTAAAATTTTGGAGAAGTTAGGACCTATTGCCTATTAAATTGCCTTATCACCCAGTTTATCAAGTGTTCATGATGTATTTCATTTGAGTCAGCTCAAGAAATATCAACCCAATCCTTCTCATGTTATTGAGTCAAAAGGGTAAAACTCCAGGAAAACTTGACCTATCGAGCCGAACTAGAGCGAATTGTAGATGTGAAAGACTGACAATTGAGAAACAAAACCATTTGATTGGTTAAGGTCTTTTGGAAGGAAATGACTCTCGATGATGCGACCTGGGAGACTGAGGATAAAATAAGGCAGTTATACCCCCAATTATTTACATTGGTATGTGTTTGAGCAAGATTCTGAATTTTAAGGGCAAAATTCCTAAAAGGAACGGAGAATTGTAACATCCTAAGTTTTTTTATTAGTAATTATCAGTGTTTTCAAGGATAATTTGGTCAATTTAGATAAATTGTTATTTAGCGAGGTTTGTGGAGACAAATATAATTTTTAAATCCTTGGACAGCCTTAGAAAAAGGCTAGGTCGAGGTTCAAGTAGGCCACGACATGGAAGAAAGCTTAAAATTTTGTGGGACTTTCTATGCCATGCGCTGTGGTGAGCGAGTCAGTGCGCTGCAGCGCACAGGCAAAATTAGTACTTATCAAATCGCAGAAATAAACCGAAAACAGAAGAAAGAAAGAGGAAAAACAAGAGAGTGGTGGAGGAGAGCTTTTAGTCTGCTAAGGCACAATCCCTAGGCTACTTTGAGAGCATTTGGAGCTTGAATCACCACTGGGTAAGTTGTACATTCCCTCTTCTCCCTTCTTTATGTGAAAATCTAAACATTTGGGGTAATGGGGGCTTTGATTTCAATTCCCTTGGGTTTAGACTGAATCCATTGGTTTATTTAAAATCTTGGGGAGTTAAGTCAAGCTTTTAACCTTAAGTTTATGAGTTTTATGGTGATTGAGAATTTTTGGTAAGGGTTTGGATGAATCCTAAGTATAATTTGAGGATTTTGAGATAATGTGGGACATTGATTAGTGAATTTGGTGTGTTGGAATGTGTAATAGGATGGTTAGAGTGTGTGAGAATGGTTGGTATTATTAGAAAAGGAATTTGAGTATTTTCAACATTTAGAACCTAGTAAATTCAGAGTTATCCAGAGTGATAATTGATGATTGTCACTTATTGGTGTAAATTGAGCATTGCTTGAGCCTTATCATTCATATAGAACGTGTAGAACTAACGTTGAGCCATGGTAACCCTTTTTGTGTGATAAAGGGGTTGAGGTAACCATATAGTTTATTGTGGTTATTAACTATTATAACTGTGTAGAAGTCATTGCAAATGATAAGGTGTGGTTTTGAAGAGTTTTGTGCATAATTTGACATTGTAAATGATTTTTAGCATGAAAAAGTGTTTTGTAAATGGTTATTGTATCTAATTGAAATGTATATACTATGTATATAAGTTTGTGATGTGAAAATGCGATGAAAAGTAGTGGAAATTATGAAAGAGCATGATCACAAGGGATGGGAATTCACCAGAGATATATGAGAATATGTGTGTGTGGAGAAATGTGAGTGAAAAAAATCCATATAGTTGGGTTGTCACTATGGGACATCCACGCCGGCTGGCATTTTTTGCAGGCTGGGTTAGGCTAGCCGGCCAATTAAAACAGGCTGGAAAACCTAGCCTAACTCGTTTCATAATGGACTAGCCAACCTACGGGCTAGCCCGTTTAAATACATCAAAATTATTTTTTTAGCAACTTAAACTTTTTTACAATACAATTAACAAGCATATAAAATTTCAAATATAGTCATCCTAATTTAAATTGTTCAACAATTAGCATTACTTGAGTCCAAACTCCAAAGTCCACTCAAATCAAACAACAATTAATAATCTAAGTCCAACTTTCAAGCTTCAAATGAACACAAATACACACAATACTTAAGATAACTTATGTTAAATTGATGACATTAGAGCTTGTTCTGTTGCATGATTATCTTCATCTGATATAATTAACTAAGCTTCACCATCATTGTCATCATCATCTTCATCATCAGAACCTTCACCTACCATAAGCATAAATCAACATATATACAATTTACAAATTGAGAATGTTAATAGAAGTTAACATTAATAAAATATATCATTTTGGAACAATTTACCATCATAATTCCATCCAAGCAACCAATTCCTTATGAAAATAAGAGCTTAACATTCTCTAAAAGAAGGAAAGATCGGTACTTTGTAAGAATGCGTAAGCCAATACTAAAGGCCGATTCACTAGCTACTGTAATGATCGAAATGCTCAAGATATCATATGCAATTTTTGAAAGAATTGGAAATTTATATTGATTATTCTTCCAATAATCTAAGACATTCATTTCCATGAATGCATTAAGATCAAGAGTTGCTTTTTCTAAATAATAATCTAACTCAGACTTTGTAATGGAAGAAGCATCACGGATCTTCACTCTAAGAAAATCATGTATCAAATTCAAATGAAATATCAATATCAAGAATAAACATATAAAATTCATCAACATAAGCTTGAGATAAAATTAAAATTGCTAATAAATTATTCAACATAAGATTGAAATAAATTGCCAATTAAAATAAAGTTTCAAGAATAAATATATAAAATTCAAAGACTTATGCCATAAGCTTGAGATAATGCCTTTTTCTCATCCCTCCTCTCTCCACTATGTTATGTGAACCAACAGATGATTGATGATTTGATGAAGATGTCCCTGGCCCCAAAGATGATTGAGTAGTTGGAGATGATGATGTACCACTCATTTCTTTATATTGATCAAATATGTGAGTCAACTTGTGCTTGATAGTTTCAATCTTTGCATGGCTGTAACATCCTGAAATTTTAAGACTTGGATTTATTTTAAAAATAAAATAAAATATTTATAATTAAATTAAAATTTAGAATAATTTGATGGAGGTTTAGAGTTTGAATTTTTCTTAGCAAAAGTTTAGTTTTATTTTATTTTTAACTATGGGAAAATTATCAGTTGACCCGGGCTTTTGTGCTATAATAAAAAATGTTGGGCCCTTTCTTGTAATTTTCCTTAAAGTGTTAGATCAGCAGTTTTAAGAGGAAAAATAGAATGCAGAAACAAAAAAAAAAGAAAGAAGGAAAGAAACGCATGAATGAGACGGAAGAGAGGAAGAAGAGAGAAGGAAGAGAGGGAGTTAGGCTTAGATTTAGGAGGCTTTACAACCATTGCGACCTCGGCTACATGATAGATAAATTCCCTACTTCAATCCACTTCCCTCCCTCTTTGTTTTTTTCAATTTTGGAAGAGAAAATTTTTAAAGTTTTATCTAAAAGTCTTTATTCTTGTAAGCCTTAGTTTCCTTTGATCCTTGGGAGGTTGTTTTGAGTTTCTACATAATGCCCTAATGTTTTAAGAGGGTAATTGGATGAAACATGGAGTTTTAGGGACAACCCCAAGAGGTTGGGTTTTACTTCTCAATGGTTTAAGTCTATTGATTTAGTTGTAATTTCACTATTTGAACCCAATAAGATTTAAATTAAGGTTTGGTTTTCATTATAAGGGCTAATGGTGAAAGTTGGTAATACTAAATGAAGGTTTCTAATTGATTAAAAATTATGTGAATTAAAATTAGCCTAGTGATAGCTAATAAATGGTTTTAGTAGTTAAGTGGTATTATGTGAATGGTTGGTTTAATATATGGACAATTAGGATGGATTATGGCTCATTGACCCAAGTTGTATGGCATGAGTTATAGTCTTCATTAATGTTATTTGCCATGATATGTGATGTGGATCACTTATATTTTGTAGGGATTGTTGGTGAGATTTGTTCGAAAGTTAAAGGACAAGCCAAATCTTATTTTTGTACAAGAGGAACCCTTTTGGTATCAAAGGGTTGAGGTAACAGGAGAATTTATATTTCTTATTACTTTATTTAGCTATTTTTGAGTAGATAATATTATCTAGCATGCATTACATGTTTTAAACAATTGAGTGGAAATAAAACGTGTTTTAAAAGGGTTTATGGGGTATTGCTTTAATAATAATGTATCTATGTTTGCTATCTACTTAATAATGATGTTACTCAAAGAATAAGATTATTAGCATGTATTATGATCATAAAAAATGAGGAGTTTTACTTAGAAAAGTGCAACTAGGTTTAGGACCTTAGATAGGCTAAGGAACCGCTTAAGGGATAAATTATCAATGTTATACTACCTTGAGTGTTGAAGAGGTCAATACTCAGGAAAGGTAGAAAAAGGGTAGAGGCATGATCTCGGTGGGAGTTCACCAATGGGGAGATGTGGTCTTGTGATATTTTATGGCTCACTGTCAGTACTCAGTGTTACCTTTTGTATTGTGGGCTCAGTATACTAAAGTGGTTAGTGGATTGAGTGTTCGACACCTCTCAGTGGGAGAGGGAATCCAGCATATGAAGTGTGAGGTTGAGTGCCTAGGCCAAGGTAGCCCTCACTTGGAGAATAAGTCAGGCTAGCTCTGGGAGGGAGTTAGCTTTGACTACTTAGGATTCACGTTGAATGACACAGGCAGTTTGGTGGATCAAATCATACCTTAGTTTATATGCTGTGCCTATGGAGGCACAGTGGATACAAGGTTGACCTACAAGCTAAAGAGTGCCAAGGGGCATTCTGTTGGTCAGGAAAGGCTATATCAGCCTATCTCATGCATTCAAGCATTTTAATTGGTTAATTATATGTTATTTTGAATCCATTATTTATTCACTTGACTATGGCTTTTTTTTGTAATAAGGAATATCGATATCTTTGTTACTGAGATTGTGATTGTCTCGCCTATTTCTTTTCAATATTTTCAAGTCTAGGTGAAGGAACCAATGGAGGATGGGAAAAAAGTAGTGCTAAAGGTTCTTTGTGAAATGTAAAGAACTGCAACCCCTTTCTTTTGAGCAAATCTATTGTAATGTATTTAGGATTAGGGTGCCACTAGGATGTGATTATGTATATATATGTGTGAGTATGTGTGGATTGTATGGCTTGTGTATGAATTTTTGTTTGCTTGTAGACTTATGGCTAGGAAACTTGGCTATGGTGTGTGATTTTGATGAATTTATTTAGTAGACCAGTTTTCACTATAACTAAATATTTATTTTGGTATATATGTGATTCCACAAGCAAATACAAAGTAGTTGCATTGCAAATGGTGTGCTATGGGCAAACATACACCTTGAATAGAGAGAGTGGGTGCGTGGGCCCCACGGAGATCTTTGAGCCAAGTGAAAATATTTAGCGTGTGTATTCATATGTGTATATGATATTTAGAATGGTTTTTTGTCCACTCTTGTGTGATTTGTGAAATTTGGGGACTTAGGGTCCATTTTTGGGCATGGCACCCGAGTGAACAAATTTTGGTATAAAGGGTTTTTCTATCATTTAAATGTTCTATCAAGTGTTTTTAGTCCTATTTGATGTGTCCAAAGTGTTCCCACAGGTTTGTGACCATTATGATAAGATTTGGACAATTTTGAAAATGGTTTTTACTAAAAAAAGTGCACTTTTACATCCAGGTGTCCAAATCTCAATCTGACCATTGGATTTCTCTAAAATTTGGGTCACAAGTAAAACCTTTTATAAGTTTCTTATGGGATTTAGAATCACATCGATGGACACCGGATGGAGAAATGACGCACTCTGGAATTTGGTCTGAAGGAGCTGTTATCATAGCAACAGTGATGATGTTGCAACATGCACGAAATTCAATCCATCCATTAGATGTAACACACCAAAATTTTTTTTAAATAATTTAACTCAACTATAGTTGGGTTACAGCCACCCAACACATTTTATATCAATAATTTCAATATAAAATATTTTATAATTGGCTTCAACTCACGCACTATAACATTTCAGATAAATTTTACCTCCTACATGCCATTAGGCTAAATCACATTTGTCCATCCTTATACTCCCAACAAGTAAACTAAATTACATTTGTCCATCCTTATACTCCCAACAAGTAAAATAAGCAATTTAGTCAATTTTCAACACAAGCCAGTTATTTGGCCTATAATCATGCCATTTTAACCAATCCAAAGTAAACCAAATATTAAAATTACAGTCATCCAAATTGTACCAAAAATAGAAATAGTTTGAAAGGCATGATTACATTTATATATTCATATAATTAACAATAAACAAAAAAGCCCTAATATTGGCAATATAACACATTATAAATCATAAATTAAATACCCAAAAGAGACAGTGGATCTATGCCACTAAGCCTCTGGGACTCCTCCACGTGTCACTCGTGGCTCTTCTCCTGAAAATTGTTAACCACATAATGAGACTCAAAAGTCCAGTAACCAAAGCCAATTTATGATAGTGTATACAAACAGTTAAGTGTGTGCTTACTAAGTGAGAATTAAAAATAATATAATTCCAACAAATATAAGAAATATTACAATACACACAAACAACCATCCTTATATCCCTCCATTAACCTCGAGCCGTAGCCCTCACTCGGTGCTAAATTATCCAGCCAAAGGTAGATTAGCCCGAGCCCTTACAAGCCACCTATTGAGCTCCAATAGGGGCGTACCACGTGGCATATAAATACAACAACAATAGCAAGTCTCCCAACACCTCCCACAATAATCAAACAAATTCATAATAATATTGTACAATTATACAATATTACAAAATTCATAATTTTCTCAATAATCACCCAATTAATATGAAGTAACACTAATCACAAATTAAAACATGGTTACCTTGTGGCTTTTTCAATAAATTATTCCTTATAATTTCTCTCCCACCACAATCTTCACCAATAATACAATCTACAAATAACATATTATTTATAAATATTAGTTTCAATTTTTGAAACTAATAAAAATAATTCTAATAATAGAATTAAAATATAACATAATTTTTAATCTCAATCTTAATACAAATCTAGTTCAACACTATTAAGTAAAAATGTTTAACTCCTCTTTTAATTATCAATAAACATTAATAATCTAAAAATCAAATTTTAAACTAATTTTATTATCAAAATTTTCTTTTTTTTATAAATTCGCACCTAAAATACCCAAAAATTAAAAATTGAGTCTCTAGCTTAGAATCATAATCCTATAGCCATAATAATTCATTTCTCATCCCAAATAATCATCTAAACCTCAATAAATCAACATATATTTTCAGATCTAGTTTAGAATTTGATCCATAAGCCACAAATTCAAAAATCATCAACAAATTTATACTCTAGAACATTTATTATACTACTGACAACCTCAAAAACCATATTTATTCAACATAAATTCATCCCTCTTCCAGATCTTAAATTTTCTACCACTACAAACTCAGAAACCAAAGAAGAGGATGACTAAGAAATTTTTTTTAGAACACTTACTTAGTCTTGAAAAGCTTAAAATCACACCCTAAATCCTATTAAAAAGCTCTTACCTAAAAATTTAAATATTTCGCACCGGTGACTCGCGTTCTCTCTGCCTCAGCGCGCACGAAGGAATGAATGAAGAAAACGAAGGAACAGGTGAGTTTTTATAAAAATTCAGTGGGTCCCACATTTTTTA